TGTTGTTACTGTTATTGTTTGTCACTAATACGAAGAGCAGCTTCTGGTTCTACCATGCAAAAGTTTAAAGTGTAACTTACCCCCCATGTGAAAAGATAACTCCGCCCCAAGGCGAAATTTGAAAAATGCATCAAAGTGGGTAGGGGAGGGGGTGTGGCCAGGACGAGAGAAGTTTGGGAACCACTGGATTAGTTTGATTAAGAAGGTTTTATAAAGAGTTCAAGAGTAAAACAGCAGTGATCCATTTTGATCTTGGCTCAGCTCAGAGTAGAAGTTTCTCTGAATTATTGCTTTGACTTGGTCAGATTTGAAGCTGTGCATGTCTGTTACCTCGTAGGCGAGGGCAAACGTCCCCCAGTGTATGGCCACAGACTGTTTGGCCTGAAGGTCCTGATGAATCTGAACCGCCTCCTCTGGATCCACGTGCTGTCCTCGCATCACATACCTGCAGAGCAACAGAACTCTGATTGTTTTTATAAATGAAATATAAAAAAAATGGATCAGGCGAGACGTGTTGTGTTCGACCTGGGATGGTACGCTCCGATCGGAACGGCTGCGAGGTCGAACGGTCCGAAGCGGCGTCCGATCTCCTGGAAGGACGAACAGTAGCCGGTATCGCCGGCGAAGAAGAATCTAAAGCTCGGACCCAGAACAGACCAGCTGCTCCATAAAGACTGAAAAGTGAGGTGGAGAAAAAAAAAACAACTTTATGAACTCAAAACTAATTTTATTTAACGGTCAACAGATTTACCACGGTTCTTATGATGCACCTTGTTATCGTCCCAGGCGGTGCGTTTGCTCCAGTGCTGGGCGGGCGTGCACACGAATGTGACATCGTCGTGGCCCGGGACGCAGTTCTCCTCCCACCAGTCCAGCTCCATCACGTTCTCGCAGCCCATCTTCACCAGCCAGTCCATCAAACCCAGGGGCACGAACCTGCCAACGCACCAGCATTCATTAGAGAAAGGCTCAGCAGGCTCGAGGGGGTGAGAAGCCCCTCCCCCCTCACCAGCGCAGCTCCCCTCCGAAGCGAGCGTTGAGGCTGGCAACAGATCCAGCGTCCAGATGATCAAAATGAGAGTGACTGATGAGGACAGCATCGATCCGAGGCAGCTGTTGGCAGGAGGGGTAAAAATGTGGGAATTAATTAAAACAAACAAACAAACAAATGAGTTTTTAATGCTACAAAGATCCAATCAGACCTGCTCCACTGTGCAGGGGGGTCCTCTGTAGCGCTTAGGCCCCATGAACTGAACTGGTGACGCCCTCTGACTGAAAATAGGGTCGGTCAGAATATTCACGCCCTCCATCTCAACCAGAACCGTAGCGTGACCGAGCCAGGTGACTCTCAAACCTGGGTGGGAGTCTGAGGGGGCGGGGCTTTGGATGAAGAACGGCTCCATCACTGGGAGCTCGCTGTCCAGGGCCTACAGGAGCAGGAGACAGAAAGAAACAAACGTGTAGTGATGATGATAATCTACCAAACACACATTTCCTTAATTGTTGTGCCGAATGTGCTCAAAAAATTAGCATATTGTGATAAAGTTCATTATTTTCTGCAATGTTCTGATAAATATTAAACTTTCATATATTTTAGATTCATTGCACACCAACTGAAGTAGTTCAAGCCTTTTATTGTTTTAATATTGGTGATTTTGGCAAAAAAGTGAAGAAAAATCAAAAATCCCTCTCTCAAAAAATGAGCATATCATGAAAAGGTTCTCTAAACGACTTATTAACCTAAT